ATTTAGGTTCGAACATAGGTAAATGGGCTGACTGCATCATTGGTGTTTAGTGCAAAGTCAGTTTCCCTTAGAAAGCCTTTCACAATGGCAGCTCTCGTGTAATTGCAATAAATAGCTCTCTTATGCTCTGCAATATCCAAAAGGTCTAAACTATTTTTAGTTGAAAATGACTAAATTACGCGTTTTGTTTTGGAAAAAAAAAAAGGGTATCTTGTTGAATTTTAGTTTCTTAGAGGAAAGAAGGAAGGAAAAATAAAAAGATTATATATTTATTTTTAACTGAGCCAGCCAGTTATATGAACAAAATTTAATTTTGCTTCCTTTAGTTGAAACAGAAATATGTCGTGCATTTTGGTGAATAAAAAGGGTTTTACACTTCAGTTTTGCCTTAGAATGCCTATTTTGTATTTTATTTTAGGGAAATTAAAATGTTTAATTTTTTTTTCAAACCCTAGGTGAAAAAAACGTTATCTCTCTTTCTATATATAAGAAACAGCAGGCAGTTCACCACTTGCTAGAGTGTCAGCGTAACTATTGCATTGATGAAAAAAAAATCATGCAAAAGCTTTCTGGGGATGTAAAAGTGTTCAAGAAAGGATTAGATGGAATTAAAACACAATACAAAAGTATACAAAGTGATATATATAAGTTTAGTTGTGTGTAGGTATATTAGATGAATATGGCCCGCAACACAGAGGATGTCATCGCTGTGAGTTCGCCAATTGTAGTAGCATTAATGTTGTATTTATAAAGGAACAGACAACTGTCAGCGAATCCACTGTCTCCAATGAAATAACAATCTTTCCTCAGTTCTACATACCACATACTAAATTTAAATTGTCTTATGCAAAAATAAGTCTATCAGGGAAATTAAAACTTTTTTTCACGTAAGCTTTTGGTTAAAACTCATAAAATAATTAATGAACCAAAAGGAGAAAAATAATTTATCATATAGTTTAATTAGAACAAGAGATTAATAGAAATTATAAAATTAAAAATATGAAATCACGATTTTTGAGATAATGAAGTATTTAAGATCTAAATGTAATCTTCGGGTCTATGAGTATCATCAACAAAATCTATTTTTAGCATTTGGTAAATTTTTCCTCGTCAACATTTTTTAGCACAACTGAAATCTGTAATCATCGCCAAGTGTAATGTCAACATAAAAGGTTACCACACTCCTTTATTATTCAAATTACTAACGTAAAAAATTGTTTAGGTATCGCTACATGAGTCATTACTCAAGTTGTCATGTTTTGATAAACGTGTGGCAATAAAAGGAAAGTATAATAAACAATGATTGCCAGGTTAGCATCAAATCAACGATGTATCTATGTGGAATGTTTCAGTTTGAGATGCGTGCCAAGCAAATACACAGCAACGAAGCCAAATTACTGATCGTACAAATTTATGCTGAAATGATTGTTTCTTCAATAACGAGGTATTTTATTTAGTGTCAAAGGGAAATTAAGAATCGGGCCTCTCCAGATGTTTTATTATGCGCAGAGGGGGAAATTAAACGCGCATGCGTAAAGCCTACGAGAGGAATTTTGTTGGTGGTTTTGAGGTCTGGATTTTAGATCATTCCGGATAATGGACGTCCAGATTTTGTACTTTGTACTGTATTTTATATCACATTAGTCAAAAGTGTGGGGCGACCTAGATACACATATATAAAGATAATAACTTATACTTTTGACAACGAAATTCAATTATTAGATTTTGTTATTTAGGCTACTTTGTTTTTATATTAGTGATATAAAACTGTAGATGAATTTCGTAAAGAGAATAATTATTTAATTTCATATGATAAATTCTCTTTTCACTTTTAGTTCAGTATTTTGTGGGTTTTAAAGAAAACTCATTTTATAAGAACTCCCCCCCTCTTTTTTTTTTCTTTCCATCTTTTTAGTCTCAGTGACATGTTGTCAATCAGATTATTCAATTCAAAAATCATATATTGACAATGCATAATTACTCTCTTTTTCTCCCAACAATTCTGTTACATGCCAAATGACTACAAAAAAATCCAGCGATTAAAAAGTTGGGTAATAACTTTAAAATTTCATTTTGAAGTTGTTTCTCTGTTCTATCTGATTGTGCAAACAGTAAAATTCAGAGATTTTTAGTTTGTTCCTTAACCCTTTCAGGACGGGCGTCCCATATACGCATTCCCTAAGAACGTCTCTTACAGCCGGGCGTCCCATCCACGCATCAGTAAAGATCGCATTCAGAGGACGGGTGATGCGTATGCGCATTTTAAGGTGGAACATTTTTCTGAAGGCCACTAGATGGCATCCTGTGTCCATTACATTTGAAATGAACACAGTTTTAGGTTCCTGACCTTGAGTTTGATATATTCTGCTTGACTTTGGTATTTTACTCATCAGCTGTTCGAGGGGGGGGGGGGGGAGGGAAAGCATAAACAGAGGTGGGCTCTTTAAATCGCTGCGTGCTAATGAAAGCATTCTCGTAACTGATTTATATCCAATTCCTTTTTTTATTCTATTTTTACCCCTACTATGTACGGTCTTTTAGGGTTACCGTGCGGAGTTTTTTTACGTTTTGCATTGCCTTCAGATATATTTCCGTTCCTTCTTTTTTATTTAGGAAAGCCTCACCTCCAGTCTTTTATGGTGGGAAGGCGCCATTTATCAGAGGAAGAATACCCTCGTATGGTTAGTGAACCATTTAACTAACACAAATGAGAGTACTGATTCATTTTCTAAAGAGTTAAAAAGTGATACTTTTTGTAAGAGTTACTTCTCTGTGCTTCGAGATTTACCACACTCGTTTTCATTTTAAATTGTGTTACTTCTTACTGTAAGTAGTCTTTATTGTGTTCTTTTTATTAATTTTAAACTTTATTGATGGATTTTATCAATTAAAACTTTGGACTAATTTGAATAGCGCTTCCGAAAATTATTTTAGAAGATGAGCATTTTTTGCGTGTATTTTCATGTAAAATAAAGAAAAAAAATGTTTTAAGGGTTAATTTTAACATATATAAGAGCTGAAATAGTAATTTAAAATAATACCAAAAATTACGATGCTAGAAGCAAAACTTTTGTTTTTATGATTTTTGTTATAAAATTAGGCTTAGCGATGCAAAACCTCCGTCCTGTACGGTGACTGCCTTCGATTCTCTTCCGCCCCGCATGAGCGTCTTAAATAAAAGTGCGCCATCGCGAAAAGGTTAAACTAATATATGTGCAAAAAATCGCTTCAATTTTAAGTTTTAAAAATGTAAGATGAACTTCATTCTCATCTCTCAGTGAGTATGCACGCGAAATTTGAACTCTAAATAGGCATAATTCTAAATAGACAATTTTTATTATTCTTGTTTTAAAAAGGTTCAAAGAATATGTTTTATAACCTGTTGAAAGTTTAAGATCTTCGTAATGGATATCTTTTTGGATGTTAGAATTTTAAAACGAATAAAATATTATATACCAAACAAATTCAGTCTTAAATGAAAGAAATGCTAGGAAAAATATAAGTTGAATGAAATGGAAACAATTAAAAATTACGGGATAGACATTGCTTGCAAATAATTTTAAACAGTAACTGATTGCCCCCCCCCCCCGATTACTAACATGAAATGAATTGCAAAACAAAGTCTATTTAAAAAAAAGGAAGAAATAACATTTGTAAAATGGCAGAAGATTTTTATAGTAAGCTTAAGCTTAATTTCTTTGCAAGTAATTCTTTGCAACAAGGGGACTGAAAGTAATCAATAATTAAATTAATTTTAGAGAAATCTATATGGAGCACAAGAAATAGTGTGATGTAAGCAGATTATAATTCTGAAACTGATGTTTCAAAATTGTGCATAGAAGAACTATTTTTTCCCATTCTGCTTCATTGCATATTTTTTCAAAAAGTAAAAAAATCATCCAATTAATGTCCTTTTAAAAAGTGCAAACAGATTGTTTTATAATCTATGAAAATTAAAAAAGTTTGTAACCAATATATTTTTAAATGTGAAATTTTAAAAGTAATGGGCACCAAAAAATTCAAGCGATTTTCAAAAATGCTCCCAAAATAAGAAAAAATTACGTTAAAAATTAATTTTTTTTCCCCTTCCACTCTCTTATGGTGCAAACAATAATACTCTAAGATTCTTAGTTAATTTGGTAATGGAAATACGTGAAAAAAAAAATCATTTCAACTTTAAATCTTTAAAAAAAAAAAAAATCCTCTAAAAATCAAAATCGTGACGCCACATCCACAAGCATTGCATGTTCAAAGTTTGAATTTGATATCTTATCAGGAAGCAATTTAAAAATTGATGGTCATCTTTTAACTATATTGACAAGGACCAAGAGTGAGCTAAATAAAACCTTATAAAAATAATAATAAGCATATCTTTTTTGGGAACCATTATGGAAGTTCCAATATCAGTTGCGAAAGTACTTATTATGAAAGTGACAACAGTAATTAATGTTTAAAAAGTGTGAACAGTATTAGAAGTCAACCAGTTCAATTCATGTTTGTGACATGATTGTTAACAGCAGTTTATAATACTCTAAGATTCTTAGTAATAGTTAATAAGTAAAGGGAAGGAATACAGTGGTCTTCTGAATAGATCCTAAAGACAAAATGCCTTCATGTCTGATTTATCTCCTCTTGCTAATGGCAGCTGTGCATAGGAGCATTGCATGTGAGCGGGACTTTAGATCAGCTGGCTTTCCCATCAATTGCAAAAGTAAGTGCAAGAATTATTCCTTACCTTCTCCAGCTGCAGTTAATTCCCACTCAATCCCTCCACATCATGCAGATGAGTTCATTGAAAAATGTGGGGAGGGTAATAATTTTTTGGCTCATCAGTGTTTAAGTCGCAATAAATCTCGCATTTATGCTTGTGATTGCAAGGCTAAAAAGCTTGAGGAGCACTGGTGTATGGGATAAAATATAACTGCAATTCCTATTGTGTATGTAAGTTTAGTGTTTTCCCAATTATTTTCTTACAATGTCTTTTTTTTTTTTATTAACAGTGGCGAGAATTAGCTCGGGAGCTCAAAGGTGTTCTACGAATAGGTGCTGTTAATTGTGAAGATGACTGGATGTTGTGCAGACAGCAAAATATTCATTCTTATCCTTCTCTTATCATCTATCCTCAGGTAGTAATTTTAAAAAGAAGTTGTTGGTACTTGTTTGAAACTTGGTTTAAGTAGTTAAGGAATTATTTAGTAAAATATTATTTCTGTTTAATTATGATTAGATAATATCAATTTAAAAATAGAAAAATATGTATATATCAGATTGTTGATTTTAGGTGCTTATTTTAGAGTTGTAAGTTGATAAATTTTAAACATTCTATGCCCAGTTTTGCATCAGTTGTGGAATATTAATGACATTATTTTAATCTGTGTTTGTTGACATTGCTGAAGAATACAGGCTTTCATGTTGTGTACGTTAATTAGCATTTTAAAAATTGGTTCCTTGCTGTATGTACTGAAATTGAAGTCAAATTTTGAAATCGAATATTGCATTCAGTTTTATATAGACAATGGAAGTCTTTACTGTAACTATATCAAACATACTTCGTTTGCAAAGTTATAAAATGTAGTTATAATATTTTAATTTAAATTATCATTTTTAAATCCTTTTTGTGTTTTTTTTTTTTTTGAAGTAATCTTTTTTTCTTAACATAAGTTTTAAATTCATAATTTGTTTTAAGAACTTGCCAGTCTGTAAGCTGCTAATTACTGTAATTATTTGATATCATCTCACATGGCATCGAAGGCCCAACAGCGGCCGAGCGGTAAAGTCGCTGAACACTGTTAGTTCGGTCCGAGGTTCAAATCCCACGAACGAGCTGGCTGCATGGGTGTTTTCGTGGTTTTACCCATGTGTAACGTGTATACGAGTCAGTTTCCCTTAGAAAGTCCTCCACGGAGGCATCCCTTAGGCAGATAGCCCTAGTGTGCTTTGCCATAATTAAATACACACATACACACACATGGCATCGAAAGTTAAGTTTTGGGCTATAGAAATTTTCCCTGAGCTTTACCACAAGAAGACAACTATTATTAAGTTAAAATTTTTCTGTTTAAGGAAAATAATTAGCCTTTTTTATTGTCAATAAATTTTTTAAAAATTAAACAGCAATCTAGAAACCTAATATGATGTTTTCAGAGTTGCACCATCTATTGTATGCTTTGCATATATGTACACAAAATTAATTCATGTAACTTAGTTAATTTGTGAGTGGGTAAATTTGAAAATAAATGCTGAAACAAATACTTCAGTGTGGCAGGATTTAAACAAGATATTTGTCTTTAAAAAAAAGGAGATGATGTAAGCATTGTGTGAAAAAAAATGTGGGCTTCAATCTTATCTTTTGTAATTCAGTGTCCATAGAACTATGAAACCATGCAATTAGCAGGAAATAGTCTGATTAATTTAGTTTGCTTAGTCATCATGACAATAAAAGTTTTGGCTTTTGTCTCAATCTTTGTTGTTAACATGATAAATATTTTCTGACATCATTTTCTTTTGTAATGATTTGAGCAAATGATTTGCATATTATTTTTCTTTTGCTGCACATTTTATGCATTGAATTTCATAAAGTACAGTGTATAGCCTAAGATCTGGTCTCTTTGGGACTTTGGCAATTCAGGATTGGGGATTTTTTGCGGATATTAGTTTATCAGTTTAAATCTCTAAATTCTGCCACTGGTGCAGCCGTAAGAGCACTGGCACCAGTCCTGGGCTTAACTGAATCACAAATCAGTTATTCTAAATTCAATATATTTGCAAAATCTATTTTTTGCATATGGAAAGAGATTTCCGTTAAACTTCTCCTCATCAACATACTTAACACTGTGCAGCTGAAGTTTGTAATCATCTCCAAATGTAATGCCAACATAAAAGGTTACTATGCTCTCTATTCTATTACTAATATTAAAAATTTAAAAAAAAATACTTAGATATTGTTTAGCTGCATGAGTCATTTTTCAAGCTGAAGTGTTTTGATATTAATGCAGTAATGAAAGCAAAAAAATAATAATGATTCATCAGGTTAGCGTCAGTGCCAAGTTGAAAGTAAGAATGAAGAAATAACAATATCAATGCCCAAGTGTAAAGCATAAGAAAAAATTTCTAAGAAGAAAAGATTGGTGGTGGTCCAGAGGTCTGGATTTTAAATCATGCCAGATATTGAACATCCAGGCTTTGGATTTTGTACTGCATATAAATTCCAAGATGTAAAATTTCTGATATTCAAGTGATTATTACTCCTGTGTAGCCATTTTTTCTTGAGCCAGACCAACAATGCCAGTAAATTTTAAAGAATAGTCAAGAATTGTAAAGAAGGGTTTTTTAACTTCTAATTTCTAAGGAGCGTAAATTTTTTTATCAAAGTAACGGTTTTGATGAGATTACCAAGAGTATTTTCAATCTGGAATGCAAGCAGCAAAGGTCAACTCCTAAGTTACATGCACCAGAGCAAAAGAATTATCCTTACCCAAATTTTCTTTCATTATTGATAATACTGTTTTGATTTTCTGTTTTGACCATAAATTAGGTTTGCAATTCGCCATTGCTGAGTAATAAATTTGGATTTGACAATTGAGTGATTTCTGCACCTTAGTTTCGAAAAAGTTAAGCACCCAGTGGTAAAATCAACAAAAATGGAAAAGTAAAGCTTTGCATGATGGTTTTTTTTTTTTTTTTTTTTTTTTTTTTTTTTTTTAGGAATTATTTTTGGTCCTTAAAAGCCTTTAATGTTGGCCAAAATCAGCAAAAGACTCATTTGACATTTCTGCCTATTTTTATGCCTGCTGTTTTGAGTGTGAATTAATATTTTGGAGCAATATTTTTTGGGCTATTCATTAACATTCATTCATGTATTTGATTGGTTATCATTTATGAGGTTGTGTCATGGGCCATTCTGTATGTCCTATCCAGATTACCGGCTATGTGAAGAAGAGGTGACTGGAATATGTACACAAATGGCATGCCAACTGCTAAGCCCATGTGATGATGACGAATGCTGTATTGCCATTCTGTCGAATGCTGTAAGACAAATGACATGACATCATCAAGTCATTAGCATGATCACAAATGCTGTAATGCCATTCTGTGTGTCCTGTCCAGATTACCAGCTATGTGAAGAAGAGGTGACTGGAGTACGTAAATGGCATGCCAACTGCTAAAGCCCAAGTGATGATGACAAATGCAAGCTGACAACATTCATTCTCCTGGTTGCCCCCATGCATGGATGTATCCATCATGATGCTTTGTATATAAATTGGATTTGTCCTAAAAGAAAACATGCTGCCACTCCCATGTCCAGTGTCATCATTCATCACACCATTATGCATGGTTATTTATGCTGTGGCATCAAGGAAAGGTATGGTAATGGTTGCTGCGGTAGCCGTGTATGGTACTGCAGACGTCATCACACTGTCGTTGCTGACATTTGTCATCCTGCACACCAGCCAAGTTCCTGACTTGAGGGGAGTGACAGGACTGTACCATCCCGCAAGGCCAAGAGGACAACATGTCTGTCTGGTATTATTGGCCTGAGATCCTGCATGGCATTCAAATATGCCCTTCTGAACCTGTCGATTCTGTATTTGCTTAACATCCATGGGATTCTAACTTGCACAAACAGCAATTTGGCAGAATAATAAGCCAAAGTCCTGATAGTCCATGAACCTTCCTCAGGTGAATTCCAGCATATGCTGGTAGGAGTTTCTGCATCCTACATGAGACATAACATAATCTTTATACGAACAACTAATGTTCAAACGTGATTTCCAAACGAAAAGCCTGCTGTGCAGTTTTCCCATTTTTACACAATGTAGATGGCATTACTTGTACCTACTTAATATACATATGCTGGAATGCTGATCATTTGTATAATCCCAGGATGTAGTACGTTTCATACAAATTTGACGTTTGATGCATGCAGCCTTCATAGTGTAGCAGTTTTAATGGCCAGCAATAAATTATGTCCAACATTTCATTGATAGACAGCATATTTCACTCCTGCTTTGCCCTTCATTTTCATGACATTTTTTATTGATTGAATATGTGTGGTCTGCGGTTCTGCAGAGTTTGTTATGATTACAGTTATCAAGGCATATAAATAAATGAACTCTGGTAAAGAATTTAAGCCTCATCATGGATTGCAATGTCCCAAGCTATCGTCCAGTATCTAGTTCACTGTATACTCTCCCGTGTAAAGCATTTATTGCTGTTTACCTATGGCAGTTACATGAGATAATGATGTGTATTCAGTCTTTTCTTTCAAATTACTTGAAATTTTAATTACTTCATCTGTATACCATGAGTTTATTTGTAAAATTAATATATTTTTGATTGGTGCTACTATATGGCCAGGAATTTCTTTTAAATTGTAATATTTATGAAATAATTCATATATTTTTGGAAATCCATTTTGAACTGACTTTTGATTCATCTACATAATGCCTGATATACTAACTGTGTATCAATATTGCATGTATTTTGTCTGATTTTTTGCAAAAATATTTATTAGTACTTATGCATTTTCAAGAACTTAATCATAATATAATTTTATTACTAAATTCAGAAAGAAAAATATCATGGTCCAAGAGAGGTGGAGGCTCTGGTGCAACATGTTCTTCAGATGTTACCAAATAATATTATAAAGTTAAGATCAACCGATTTTATTGAAGTAATATCGAGAGAAGAATTGACATCTCTGCCCTGGCTAGTATTTGCATGTAAGAGCCATAAAAGTAAGTTCAGAAATACTGGAAAACTTTATATATTTAATCCATATCAGAACAGTATATACCATGTGTCTTCAAGACATTCTTATTTTCTATATCCACAGCAGGGGGGGATGAATTTGATAAAAAATACATATTCTAAAAAAATTTATGCATGTTAAAAATTTTATTACATTAATGATATGTTTTTAAATAATATATTATTCATCATTTTCTTCTGAATGGATATAAAAATTCAACCATTCAAAACCATTGATATTTGTGCTGTAATATATAAATTTACCTCATTTTCACTCTCGCATTCTCTGAGCTGTTTACTTTCATTATCTCACTATGTGTAACTTTCTGGTCCTTAGAAGATATTGGGGAAGCAACATTTTATGCTGTTCTTCCTGAGATTACTTTTGAAGCTATTGATGTCCTTCCATACATCCATGCTTAGTTTAATGACACTGAATCAACATCTTTTAAAACTCACCTTTCATAGCTTACTGCAGTGCATGAGTATGTTGCATAGCTCACAATTACTTTAGAAACTATTGATGATTTCTTAATGTTATATTTTTTAAACAACTTCCAAAAGGAGCATTTAAAATTAATGCAAAAAGGAGGTTTTTGTTAAAGAACATTTTATCATAGCAAGCACTACCACATTCTCCAAAATCATAACATTTATTCTGATATTAAGATCTTTTATAGTCGTAAAAATCATGGAGGGAATCAATGTTGCCAAATATTAAGACTTAAAATTATACTTTCTTAACAAATACTGTCAAAAACTGACTTCTTCTATTCTAAGAGATTTAATTGAATAAAAAATAAATATTCTAAAAAAATTTACACATTTTAAAAATTTTATTACATTAATAATATCTGTTTTTAAATAGAATATTATAAATCATTTTCTTCTGAATGGATATCAAAATTCAATTATTCAAAACCATTGATAGTGCTGTAATATATAAATTTACCTCATTTTCACTGTCACATTCTCCAAGCTGTTACTTTCATTATCTCTCTGTGTGTAACTTTCTGGACCTTAGAAGATATTGGTGAAGCGATATTTTATGCTGTTCTTCCTGAGATTAGTTTTCAAGCTATTGATGTCCATCCATATATCCATGCATAGTTTGATGATCAACATCTTTTAAAAGTCACCTTTCATAGCTTACTGCAGTGCATTAGTATGTTGCACAGCTCACTGTTAGTTTAAAAACTATTGATGATTTCTAAATGTTATATTCTATAAACAACTTCCAAAAGTGCAAAAAGAAGGTTTTTGTTAAAGGACATTTTGTCAGACCAAGCACTACCACATTCTCCAAAATCATAACATTCTATTCTGATGATATTAAGATCTTTTATGATATTAAGTAAAAGTCATTAATGTTGCCAAATATTAATGACTTTTACTTAAAATAATACTTTTATAAACAAATACTATCAAAGAGATTTTGTGTACTGATGCTAGATATATTAAGATTTTTTATAGTTATAAAAAATCTCATAAACAAATACTGTCAAAAATTGACTTCCTCTATTCTTAGAGATTTAATTTGATAAAAAATAAATATTCTAAAAAATGTATGCATGTTGAAAATTTTATTGCATTAATAATATCTGTTTTTAAATAGTATATTATTCATCATTTTCTTCTGAATGGATATCAGAAATTAGTTATTCAAAACCATTGATATTTGGTTTTGAATGTTTGTGCTTAATATATAAATTTACCTCATTTTCACCATTACATTCTCTGAGCTGTTTACTTTCATTATCTCATTATGTGTAACTTTCTGAACCTTAGAAGATATTGGTGAAGCAACATTTTATGCTGTTCTTCCTGAAATTAGTTTTCAAGCTATTGATGTCCATCCGTACATTCATGCATAGTTTGATGACACTGAATCAACATTTTTAAAAGTCACCTTTTGTAGCTTACTGCGGTGCATTAGTATGTTGTACAGCTCTGATTACTTTGAAAACTATTGATGATTTCTAAATGTTATATTTTATAAACAACTTCCAAAAGAAGCATTAATAATTAATGCAAAAAGAAGGTTTTTATTAAAGAACATTTTATCATAGCACATTCTCCAAAATCATAACATTTCCTGTGTAAGATCTTTTACAGTCAGGTAAAAGTCATTAATATTGCCAATATTAAGGCTTAAAATTATACTTTTATAAACAAATACTGTCAAATATATTTTCTGCTAGATATATTATTAAGATCTTTTATAGTCTTAAAAATCATTTTTGCCAAATATTAAGACTTAAAATTATACTTTCATAAACAAATACTGTCAAAAACTGACTTCCTGCATTGTCAGAGATTTAAGCAGTGTCTTCAGCTGTCAGTTGCATAGTTTGCTGCATGATAGGAAGTTGTGTAATGCATGCCATCATGTATAGAAATATTACTGCTTCCAGAATTTTCCCCTTTTTTGGAACTGCAAGACACTGTCGTATCTTTTGATAAAAACATGGACAATCTCTAACAAGGATTTGTTTTACTAGTGTCAAAAATTGACTGATATTTATTATGTTCCTTTTATTTCAATAAATCTTCATAGTGATGTATTGAAGTTAATTATTTTTTCACTTCTGTACAATGTTTTGACTATTATTTGATGTGAGGCAAAAAAGACTGAAATACAGCTACTGAATTCATTACATTCATCATGCTTGTAGATAGAACCAGAAATGTAGCTTTATCTAGTTCACTATAGACTTTATGAAGTACCAAGTCTGATTTTCTGCCATTCTTTTTTTTTTTTTTATTTTATCGGGTTGCAACAAAAGTTTCTTGCCAAAAACATTCTTAATAATGTTAGGGAAAAAAACACACAAGCAGTACCTTTAGTGCAGGTAGTAATCACCACCCAAATCTATGACTTTCTGCCAACATTTTGGTAGTTTCTCAAAGCTTTCGGTCCAGAAACTTGGTGGCCACGAGTCCAAACACAGCTCAACCTCATTTTAAACATTATATGCAGAATGGAAGATAGCACCAACAAGATGTAGCTGTAGGTGTGAACAAAAGGTAGAAGTCCAAAGGAGCGATGTCGAGGCTATATGGTAGGTTTGACAAAAGATCCTATTTGAGTCCTTACAGAGTCCAAACGGTGAATGCAAACATATATGGTCTTGTATTATCTTGCCCAAAGACTTACCGGGTGAAGACCTACCCCTTTTTCAGCCTGTATTTCTGAAGTAAATCCACGTTTCATAGTAAGTGACGATCCAGTCCAGAATTTTGTCTTTGCGTTGATATTTGAGTAGATTCGTGCAAGCCCAAACATGTCCATCCTTAGCTCATGGCAACACCCAGTGATTCAACTTGTACATCAAGTTTATGCGATATATCACGTGACTAATGTACATGGTACTAACATCTTAACTCCTTAGTAAGCTCTCTAGTGCATACTGATCATTACCTACATGTTCTCGCAGACGGGCTTCATCAATATCAGTAGGCCGGCCAGAGCAGTCTGCTTCTTGAATGTCACAGTCCTTGTTTTTTTAAGTTTAGGTACCAGACTTTCACAGTGTTATATGATATAACAGTAGTACATAAAGCTGTACACATGATTTGGTGGCGTTCTGCATCTGACATTTTGCAACAGAACTGGAAGTAGACGATGGTTCTAATCTGGTAACATTATAGTTCCGTTTCAGACACTTTGTACTTAGTGATAACGATATTTTTTTACAGATTTCACAGCACAGTGTTCTAAAGCAAGTCTCTTTCTTTCCAATGTCAAAAATTGTTTGACAAAATATGATTAAACACGCCAACGTGAACTGTTTTTGCAGATATTTGTGGTGGCAAGGAACTTTGTTAAAACCTGTTATTAGTCATACTTAAATTATAACCCATTTAAAATAATCTGTTTACGGCTATACATTTAAAGCTGTCTAAAGATTTAAGGTTGCTCATTTAAGTTAAGAAGTATTTAATAATGAGACTTTCCATAGCCAAAATTCAGTTTAATTCATAAATATGTGTAAACACCAAAGCAAAAGCAGTAATAATACATAAATGTGCAAATAGAAAATAAAATGTATGTTAAAATGGGAAAATTAAAAATAAAATGTATAACAAAAACATAATTGAATGTCGATAATGAGTGTCTTTAAATAAGAATAGGCAAGAGAGCCATTTGCTTTTTTGAAATTGCTGCAACACAGAAATTTTATATTTCCTGTTTCCTGTAAAAATTTTACATTTCCATCATTCTCTACCCAACTAGCAGTAAAATTTCCTTCAGAGGGCATGCATGTAAGGCCCTTATTATAAGACATCAAGAATTCAGAGTTGCACCATAGATAAGAGTGGGGGGGGGTGAAAGAAAACCCAAAGTCTCGGCTGATCATTCTTGGTCTGTCTTTTGGTTTTCACAATGAATAAATGGAGGGATTGAATTACTGTGGCCAGTATTTTGGCCAGACCCTTCTTTTGAAGCCACTATGTATTTGGCCGATTAATATTCCTCTGCCCTAAATAAATTAACTGCTGTCCATGAGTGAGAGTTTACATGCTATTTTCATCATAATTTAGCTTCTCTCATGAGACCTGCTTAGTGGTAGATTAGATTTAGATTCGGTAGATTTGATAAGATTTTTAATTATTTGTGATAGAATAAGTTTACTCCAAGTGTTTCGTCAGATCAAGTGGACTCTTGGGCTCAACTATTTTAAGTATGCGAGTTTTTCTGTTTTGTAACTGTAATAGTCTGTAGATTATGTTCATGAGTTATGACTTAGCAAGTACATAATGTTTTACTTATTTGATTATTTTGCTACTAACTAATCTATTGGCAATAATTCACTGTTAAAAGAATGTAACCTGAAATATCTGGGTCATTAGGTTAGACAAACTAAGTACATATTTCATATAGCAGGCTTTAATGTTTCATAATGAGTTTTTTTTTTTTTTTTTTTTTTTTTAATTTTATCAAGCAAACATGTTTTGTTATTAATAGATTGCTGAATATAACAGTAAAATTCAGTGATAGTATAACTTTACTTTTTAATATTTCAGATTGTATTCATAAAGATGACATGAAAAAACTAGCTATAATACTGGTATGTAATAAATTTCAGTCTCTTTATGCTAGGGTATGACTTTTTAAATGACAGAAATTGGTTATTATGTTCTGTAATTTTATAAAACAAATTGCATTTCTTCTTTTACTAGGAACATTTAGTAAATATTGGTGAAGTAGACGTTGAAAATGAGAGACAAATTTGTGATATTATTGACTGTAAGTCATCAGTTACATATTATTTTAATCTGAGCTTAGCCTTACCAAAGACTGAACAGAGAAGTGTATCTATTGATGATGTTGAAACACTTGAAATTGTGAAGAAAGTACTTCAACTGTTGCCTGAACCAGAAGATGTAACAGAGAAATTTCAGGTGAGTAATAAAATGTAACTGAATTCTTGTATGTGATTGCTTTAAATGAAGTATTTGCTCTAGAATAAAATTTAAATGCACTGCATTTATTGAGGGAAGGAACAATGTATGTTTTTATGTTGAAAATTTTTTATGTATCACTGATACCTATCAAAGAGATCTGCTTTTTTATGTGTTTTCTGTAATTGTGTTGCTTTCATTCTGGGATCAGTTTTCCATCAAGACTTGTAGAGTAGACTGTTTTGTAATCCCATATAAGAGTAATATACCATGCTCTTCATAACTGATTTGTGTATTTATAGTAAGGCAAGATAAACTACATATCTCAGTTGATCAGATGATAAATGTAACTGTCACATTCTCTTTGTCAAACTAGTGTACTGAATAGCATAATACAAGTTTTCTTTCACAAATCATTAAACTTTTGATGCTTGACATAGAGGGGGCAGTTAATGTTACAGCTTTGCACAAATTAAAATGGGAAAAGCTAAATCTAATAAAAAAAAAAATAACCAAGGGTCGCCAACTCTATACCTGCCGTCACTATTGCACCCACCACAAGTTTTATATGTGATCACGATAAAAAAAGTTTTTGGTGTAAATTTTTGGTGTTTTTGTTTGTTTATTAAATATTCAAAAATTTCAAATATACATGCATTATTATTATTTGCCTCCCTATACTACTGTATTGCATAATGCTTTTCATAGATGGTGCCATACAAAGAGCATAATTATGTATTCTGCATTGTGATGACATCTACAGAGGGGGAATTCCCATTTAATTGGTATTACCTTAAATACCATATTATATTTATTGCTAATAATATGCTCATATTTTTAGCGCATGTGTTTCCTACAAGCACGCTTTCACTCACTAAGCTCTAATAATATGCTCATATTTTTAGCGCACATGTTTCTTACTTTATTATTATCTTCTACTAAATTTTTTTACATGCCTTTTTATTTTAATCCCAAAATAAGTGACTCAAGTAGAGGGCAAATAACCTATGATTTCAATACTGACTCGGAAGAATTCTAGTGTTCCATGAGTTTTAAAGATGAATGTGTTTGTTATGTGGAAGTAACATTACAGAACTGATAAAACATAATGTGAGTGACGTTTTCAGAAAATTCATGCCACTTTTTCAGTACAACCTGTTCAAGTAAATCTGAAGTAAAAGAGAAGAAAATTAGTTTCTGTTTTGAACCTCTGTGCCCAACTGTCAGTTTTCATTAAGCCTGTGGTAAAATGTAAAAATGCTACTATTCTTTCAAAATTTCTCCCATACTCGTAAAGAAGAAGCCTTTCCAGTATGGTGAGTTGTTAAAAGAAGCATTTTTAAATATTGTTGATTGTATTATATGAGGGATTTTCTTAGCCAGAATGCTGGGGCCCCCCAGTTGACCCTCCTGGGGGATGATTTGTTGGATGATTACATATATATGAAACACTGCACAGTTAGCCCAGTTTGCCTCCGCACAAGCTATTGGCAATAACCACTGATGGAGCACCAGCTGTGGTTGGTAATATTAATGAATTTATTGCCCTTTGCATAAATAAATAATTTTGAAACTTTATATTGTATCACAGTATCACTCACCAGGAAACTTTGTATGATAAAATATTGCCCTTCAAACATATAATGAAAATAGTTACAAAAATCGTAAACTTTATTCGAGCAGTCCATTTGCAACACAACCTTTTCAAGGCCCAACTAGAAAATCCTGAAAATTCTCATCACATTCTGCATACTGGAGTATGTTGACTCAATAAAGTCAAAGCTTTTGCAAGATTTGTAAATTTAATTGGAGAAATGAAAAGTATCTTAATGCCCAAAATCAAAATTTTGATGATCTAAATTTTACTGGGTGGAAGACTTAATTTGTCCTTGGTTATTATCAACCTTCAGTTACTTTGTTTACTGAGGAATCCAGATATAGTCTGAACAGTGTTTCTAGATGTGTTTTTGATCTGGAGAGAGGAAGGAAGACGGAAATTGCTTTCCCTTATCCATGAAATATTCTATTTCCACGACCGGGTTTAATAGTTTGTGGAGGAATCATGTCAAATGGCCACATCAAGCTGCATATCTTTTAGGAAAGTTCTGCAAACACTCGGAGATATGCGGACAAGGTATTGGAACTTCAATTTAGATTGTTTAGTGGTGCAGTTGGCCCAGTTTTTGCTAATGAATGACAATGCTGGACCTCATTGAGCCATATATGGTGTCAGAATAACAGAAGATAATACTCGAATGGATTGGCCATCTTACTCTCCTGACTTGAACCCAATTGAGCATGTGTGGGATACCTTAGAGCACTGAATTTCAGTGCATCAAATTCCTTCCTGGACACTCCAGGAGTTGAAAAATGCTCATTTAGAAGAGTGATGTGCAATTCTACAAAACTGATCAACACTTTGGTAAAGTCTATGAAATCAAGATGTGAGGTATGCATAACTGCTCGAGGTGACCGTACACGATATTAAAGAAAACATTTTCCTGTCATTTTTCAGTTTCCATAATTTGGTTTTAATATCAATGTTTTGCAAATAATCAACTGCCAAGCATTGCAATTTATGTTAACTAATGCTTTTGTACAAATTTCTAGTAATAATTTTTCATTAAATATCGGTTATGTTTTATTTCTGTCATTATTCTTTAATTTTGATGACCAGTGTATTATTGAATTCAGCTTGATCAGTATAATTAAGTAAATCAACTGCTGTTGATTGAAGTTGTCAGCCTCTACTGACATGTGCTGGCATTTTGAGTGTCAATGGTACCAATACATAACAGGTACCATTGACCATTGGGACCATTTATTGGTACCATTGGGTTAAAATTAAGAAAAAGTTCATTTACCTTTTCTACTATAAACATGGTGTCTCAGTTGGAAAGACGAATATTTTCCACAGAAAACACAATTTTATTTCTTGACACCACATTTTGATTCACATTAAACATTGAAAAGGAAAAACAAATATTTAAGTACTATTTCTTATACAGCCTCCCTTTCCCATTCATAGCTGTAAGAATCAACTGCTCATCTATACTGGCACGAACCAAAAGTGAAAATTCACTGTCTATTACAAAAAAAAAAAAAAAAAAAATTAAAAAAAAAAAAAAAAAAAAAAAGAAACGTTCTAAATTTTCTCATTAGTGGAACCCCTGGTGCCACCTGGTGAGGGAAAGAAACACTTTAAAATGAATACCTGACAAGTGTATTTTTGAATAGCATGACATCATCATAAGGTTTGGCAAGCACTTTGCACAGAGTATGTTTTCTTTTAGGTTTTTGCACTCGTAATGTGATTTCAGTGTTTCTTAATCCCAAACAATATTTATAGCACTAAAGTATTTGGAAAATTCCTTGAGATGAAAAGCTGTTAGTCATTTAGATAATGGGCATCAAGACGGTGTCTTTGCTGTCAAAAAACATTTTAAAGACTGAAACTGTTGCTGGGAGGCTATGGCATTCTGTTGAATGAAATCAGCTGTTTCTCAATATTCATTGAGTGTCTATCATGACCAAAAACTTAACTGCTACAGAGCAAAGTTTTTAACTTAGTCATAATTGGGACTTTAATATTGGAGGAAAGTGTATATAGAGTAATATTAGAACAAAGGGCATATGGATGATTTGAAAAGAAAGGCCTTTTTGCTAAGCCTTTCTGCATTGTTGTACATGTCCTCATTATGGAAGAAGGCCTGCTTGAATTTGTGCAGAAAACATAATAGTTAAAGTCTATAACAATGAGCCTAATTTCTTTTAGTGAAAATTCTATGTTAACATCAGATTCTAAGCACATTTGCAACTGTAAGGAACCACAAGCAGGAAATATTCCTGCCAATATTAAAGAATAGTCTGTGTGTTGTAGGTTTTGAGAGAAATTATCACCAATGTGCACACTTCCTTTTGCACATGTTCTGCAGAAGATATGTAGTCTACCCAATTAAGTCTTACAACTCAGAATAAGTCTTTTTAGAAATCTGATTGTCTGATTTTCTTTTTGAGACAACATTTATCCAAATTCAGCAAACCTTATTGATGAATGTCTTAGAACTGAAGACATTTGAAACCAAATCTCCTAATCTGAATTCGATAGAAAGAGTTTATGGGACATCCTTGGAAAGGCTATTGCATGGTAAATTTCTCTTAAGGGCCGTTCACACTAGGTTTACCTGAGCTAATGGAGACATCTGATGCAGCCGACACTGCTCCATAGTATTGGAAAAATCAGTTTCTCTTCACAATGGATCCAGTTAAAAATCTTAATCTCACATACATCAAAGCTAGTCACTACATGGAAATAACTCTGTTAGCTCAGGTAAACCCCATTGTGAATGGTCCTGTAAAGATCTGAATGCTTTTTAAGATCACATTTGCAGAGGAATTAACTGTTAAAAATTCTCTTTTACCACCTTTTTAAGAATATTAAATTGTTTTGTGGTATGCGTGTACAAGTTAATCATGTTCTTCTATCATCAGAAGTCTGCACTTTTTGTGAGGTTATTAACTTTTAACTGCAGTGTCATCATCACATTTTACTTTAAATTTATATATAGGACTAGACATATGCATTCATATTCAATTTTCAGTTTACATGTTATTATGTTATCTGCCATTCGAAATAAATTCATTCTATTTTATGCAACAGTTTTTGAGAAATCAGCATTTTGGCAGATATAGAGGTAAATATAGGGTTATAAAAAGCTGTATAGAACTGAAAAGAAATAAAAGCCATTGACCAATTTTACACATTCCTTTCATCTCTTAAAAAATTTTTGAATGATTTTGGTGACCAAAATTTCTATGCTAAAATATATTTGCAGAAGTACATCTGAATGTAATGATATTTTATGAAATTAGTTCATATGCAAATATTTTACTGCAGTTTTTAATACTTCCATAGGAGATACAAAGCTCTACAAAGAGTTTAACATCATCACCGTGGTTAATCCAGTTCACAAAAAACAAGACTAGTCCTTTTGATGAAGATGTGGATCTCAAACGCCTTAAAGCATTTTTGCCAGAAGTAATGCTTGGACTGTTTGATTGCCTGCATCATATGTCTACTTGTTCATCCTTGTATATACAGAAATTTCCTACATTCATTCTGTTCAAGCCAGGTGGCATGTATGAATTCTATCATGGTAATTGTACAGTATTGTAATATTTTTCAGTTTGTCATAATGATAATTAAAAAAATAAGTAATAATACTTATTTATTTGTTAAACTTTTGTGTGTACAGTCGGGAGTAGAACTATGGATTTAAAAATATTTGATATTGACTGTCTTTCCTTCCTGTTAAAAAGATAAATATTTTACAATGCAAATAATCTTATTTGGGCAATATTCTGACAACTTACCATATTAAAGAGGAATATATGCTTAAATTTTTTTTTGCATTAAAGCAGCATGAGCTTATTAAAATGATGTTATGAAATTGTTAGTTTTAATATGTAATTCCTTATGTATGCTGTAATATATGTTCCATGACTCTCAATTGCATAAATCAGTGCTCCGCAACCGGTGTGCCGCGGCACACTGGTGTGCCATGAGTAGGATATAGGTGTGCCGCAATCAAATACATGTATTTGACATTTTGCAATTTTTTATCATGTATTTAATACACAATGACAATTTTTTTCCTTAATAATGTCTATTTTAAATGTTTTTATATATTTCACTGTTGTGTGGTTGTGTGTGTGATTGTAAGTGTGTCAGCATTTGAATTTTTTCAGCACTTCCTTGATAACTCGGAACTCTTTGGTGTGCCACAAAATTCCAGAAAGATTTTTTGTGCGTCGCAGGTGAGAAAAGGTTGCGGAGTACTGGCGTAAATGATCAGTTACCTGAACTTATCAAAAAATGTGTGAACAGATGTCATTTAAGTACAGTAAGACCCCGCTTAATGCTGTTTCGGTTTAATGCTCTTTTATTTGAACTGTGGGATTTCCCCGAAATTATACACAGCATCAGGATTCCTGATATCCGAAGCAGTTTCTCTGTGTTTCTTCTTTCCTGCGGTGTTATACGAATGTATTTTTATTGTTTCAAACATTTGTTGACTTTATTGCAAGTATAAATTTATATAATATAACAATTGATATAGTGACAAATATTATGATTTTTAGGTTTTATCATGGGTGATATATAATAAAAAACACGAAAATAAAGCAACAAGAAAAAGCATTTCGCTAGAAACTAAAATGCATGTGATTAGAAGATTAGATACTGGTGAACGTCAATCTCAAATTGGTATTTCATTGAATTTGGCAACTTCAACAACAAGGACTATTCGTAAGAATAAAGAAAAATCACTGTCATCAGCAACTGCTACTATAACAAGCTCTGCAACTAGAATTACCCATTCTAGAAATAATGCAATAAAGGAAATGGAAAAATGACTTTCTGTATGGATTGACAACGAAACTGAACGCAATATGCCATTAAGCCAATTAATTATAATGGAAAAAGAAGAATTTTTAATTACATTCAGGTTGAGGCAAGTGACACAAGTGAAACTTTTGTTGCAAGTCGAGGAGGGTTTAATAGATTTAAACATTGAAATAATCTTCATAACATGCAGATTACAGGAGAAGCAGCAAGTGGTGATATGAAATTGGCGGCTGAATTCCAGCGACATTAAAAACAATAATCAAGGAAACCATGCTCCAGAATTGGTTTTTAATGTTGATGAAACAGGCCTGTTCTGGAAAAGAGTGCCAAAACGAACATTTCTATCCCATGCAGAAAAACGTGTACCAGGATTTGAAGCTGCAAAAGATCACATAATACTTCTACTGGGTGGTAATGCAAGCAGAGATTTCAAATTAAAACTACTACTTGTTTACCATTCCAAAAACCCAAGAGCAGTGAAAGGAATATCCAAATCAACTTTACCTGTAATTTAATAAAAAATCATAGATAACTATGAAATATTTCCAGAATTGGTTCACTGAATATTTTTGCCTGTCTGTTAAATGCTATTGCAAAGTTAGAAAACTTGAATCAAGAGCACTACTTTTAATTGATAATGCTCCAAGCCATCCAACGAATTTATCTGACTTAATAACATGCATTCCAGTCAAAGTGGTTTTTCTTGCTGCCTAACACAATGCCTTAATCCAACCAATGGTTCAACCGTTATATCAAATTTTAAGGCTTATTACCTGTGGCGAACATTTAGACAGATATTTGAAAAAACAGACACACAATAAGAGAGTTTTGGAAAAAATACAATATCATGAATGCTGTCGTAAACATAAACCTTTCTTGGAATGACGTAACAGAAAAATGCTTGAAAGGGGTGTGGAAGAACATTTGGCCAGATCTAAGCAAGGACGGTGACACTGGACACTCTGTCGATATGAATGAAATACAGTACAAAGTCCGAAATCTGGACTGGTCGGGACTTCGGCAATTCCGGATTTGGGATTTTTCCTGATAATAGATCATCAATTTAAATCTGGTAAGATGGCATGCAGAAATTATACAATTAAAAATATGAAATCATAATTTATGAAATAAAGAACAATTATGATCTAAAGGGTTACAAATTTACAAAAAAAAGCTTTATATTTATTTGTTTACTTCATTAAACATTTCTTTCAATGTAAGTTTTTTAAGATGCTCCCACAAAAAATTCAAAAAGTTCCTTTTTCTTGTGTCATATACGGTGGAATTTCCAGTGCCATACTCCTCACATAATTTTGAAACGGATATGCTTTTATCCATTTTTTGCGGCAATACCACTTTTTGTTTAATGGACATCGAAAGATGGTTTCGCTTTGTAAGATCCTTTGTCAACTCCAGAATTGGAAACTCTTTTTGACATAATTGAAAGTTCAAGCTTAGTTTTTATAAAATTTCTGTAATAATAACAGTCTGCAAAAAATAATAAGCTGGATCAAATTAGACACAGTTTGCTACATTAATTGAAATGCCTTAAAATCAGTAAAGACAATAATTTTAGCCTAGCTTAATAGCGTCCGTTATACATCATTAGCTGTGTATTAGAAGACTGGCGACGAAAGCCAAGTTGTTTCCCTAAATTGTCTTGCTCCTATTGCGTACTAAATTAAGCCTGAATTGTAATAGCTATGTACTATGCGTTTATTTCTTGCGCATGCTTCAAAGTAATCCGAGTCCTGAATAAATAAACTCCCGCATATGCTTAACCGTTTGAGTCCGGCGAAGCGCTTCACTTGTCGTATGCCAAAAATACGCAGTGCGATAGCGCTTCTCTTGTTTTATATCGGGAATGCGAAGACGCTGCTATTGGTTAGTATACTTTACGCAATTATTGAGAGCAGTTGTAGTGATATCAGTACTAGTTGTTTTATAGGAATTGGAAATTGTTTTCAATTTTTTACCAAGTGTTAAACTGATAATTATGAAATAACCCGTGTCAAGTTCTGATTCATTTGAAAGTGACTATGTTATGAGAAGTGATAATGAAGAGTATAGTTATGACCTTAAAAGTGATAGTAGAAGTGACATCATCATTCGTTCTAAGAGATTACGAGTTATTAGTGATAACAGTGATGATGATGAAGTAACTTCATGATGATATTATTGATGACTTTTTACCTGTGGATACAATTTTTCCGAATGAATCGAATACTTTTTCTGAAGTACCTGGACCAAAGCATGCCCCTCCTCCTGATGCGAAACCAATTGAATATTTCAATAATTTATTTTTTCAATTTTCAATAATTTTTTGTCAAGTATACTGACCAATAGCAGCATCTTCTCATTCTCAATACAAAACAAGAGAAGCGCTATCGGGCTGCGCCATATTTTTGGCATACGACAAGTGAAGTGTGATAGCGCTTTGCCAGACTCAAACGGTTAAGGCTTTATCTAGGTCCTGCGCTCGATACAGCCTGGTGCAGTCTCGCGGGTCTTAAATTATGCTACAGAGCGCTTTCCTAAGTTCTAAATTTTCACCGTATGTAAACTTTGGATCCCAGTGCTTTTCCTAAATCATAGAAAACTTCTCATCCCTTAATTTTGCCGCTCGGTGCTCCCCCCAAATTCCAAAAATATTGTCTTCCATAAATTCTGCCGTCCAGTGCCGACATATTCTGCAGCTGCTTCTGGTTTTATGGTGAATAACATATCAGTTATTTTTAATTAAAATAACACTAAATGTAATCTTTTGGCCTATGAGTTTCATTATCAAAATCTATTTTTAGCATATGAGAAGAAATTTTTGTTGAATGTTTTTCATCAACATTTCTTAGAGCATTTAAAAATGTATAATGTTCGCCAAGCATAATGTTAGCATAAAAGTTTTCCATACTCTTGTTATTCAATTACTAATATTAAAAAATATTTTAGACCTCACTGCATGAATTATTACTGAACCTGTCATGTATTGATAAACATGCGGTGATGAAAGCAAAATATAATAAATAATGACTCGCCAGGTCGGCGTCAGGGATATAAAATAGGTGAATGTTTCGGTTTGAGATGTATGCCAAGTAGAGACTCAGCTACGGAGCCAAATTATTAATCTCGCAAATTTATGCTTACATGATTGTTTTTCCATAACAAGGTATTTTATTTAGTGCCTAAGTGAAATTAAGAATCGGAATTTTGAAGTGAATCTCCACAGGTTTTATTATGGAAGGAAAAATCAAATTGCCATGCATAAGGCATTAATAAAAAAAAGTTTGTGGCTTTGAGGTCCAGATTTTAGATCATTCCGGATAATGGATGTCTGAATTTTGGACTTTGTACTGTAGTGGAATTAGTGAAACAAACCGGTTTAGATGATGTAAATGTAGAGGATGTTGAAGAAATAGTGCAAGAAACAGCAACAAGTCTTTCTAATGATGAGCTTGAGGAATTAGTGGACCAAGAAGAACATAAAAATATTGAAAGTAGTGATTCTGAAGAAGAGGAAAAAGAACTTTCAACAGCGTTAATAAAAACCAGTTTGACCACTATAACAGAAATTGTGGACCATCTTCGCTTAACCCCATTATTTATATGACGAGATAACCTCGTTTAATGCTGTTTCATATTGCACTCTACTTTGATGGAATGTATACCCTGCATTAAGCAGGGTCTTACTGTATCTCCTAAAAAATCTGAGATTAAGAATGCATTTGTCCATGTGAATTTCGTCGAAATTTTCAA